TGTGCGATTGGCAACGACCTTCAGTCGAAGGAAGAATTGTGCATGTAGCACGCCCGTGTCCACTTTATCTGACAAACTGCCAGTGACAATGCGATGTGAATTGTGGTCAACGAAAAACATTAGTTAACACGGAAACAACCTCCGTTATTAAACACACCTAAAACTGGTCACCACAATCCAAAAAACAATTGCTGTCAGTGTGATTGAATGGAAGTGGAATAGTGCATTTCAGTGCGCTCTGATTGGTTGACTGAGCAGCACTTCGTGGCACAAAATACTCGAAGGTGATTGGTGGAAGCGGTGTCGTGCTCCAGCATGACATCAAAGTGCGAGCAGCATTCAGGAACCGCTTCCAGCTGGCGTCCTTTCAAAATTTCACTCAACTTCATAAATTGATTGTTTTCTGTTTGAGAACTTGAGGCATCCATCAATGCTGAGCTTTCTTTGTAAATAAATCATATCAGTTTGTTTAAATCGAACGGACGTTGTATTGTAAATTAGTATGAATTCAGAATGAGGTTAGTAGCCAAGACTGTAAACAAGTGAGCCCACTCCTCTCGCATGGGAATAATGTGACAAGGTCTTTTTGCTATAAAACTGCCAAATTGGGAAACAGGTCTGATTGGCCATGAGCACTAATCACCAATTGATGGGGGAGGGGTTTCTGAGCCAATAAGATGCGGGAAAGCGGCGCCACTTTTGAAATGACAACTGGAGGTAGATTTTTGGTTCCGATGTGAAAATTGTGACAAGGGCTTTCAGAATGACTGATTTTACCACAGCTAACTGAAAACTACCTATAGGATTCACCTATAAGCGTTCACACATACTACTTAATATTCTATGATTGGGAATTACCTAAGAGATGAAGACGGGACTCGATTGGTGGAAGCAATGTCCTTTTCCTGCTTGACGTCATAGTGTTAGCATCAATTAACGAAATTTCCCATCTGATTCTCGTCCAATTTTTTTCACTAATCGTTTTTTTGCTTGAAATACTTGAGGCATACCTGAACTCGATAGAGTTTGTTTTCCCAAGTTTCTGTTGCTTTTCAAAATCAGTTTTAAAATATTATCTACAATTACAACTACAGATATAACTGATGAAACAAAATCTCTTCGCTGCAAGACAGGCTAATTTGGTAACAGGCCGAATTAGCCAAATAACCAATCTTTAATCGAGTGATCTCAACCAATCAAACCAACAGATATGGCGATGCTTTTGAAAAACCAATTGGATCTGAATTTTCGGCTTTAATGTAAATATTTTTGCAAATGTTTTTACAGAACTCCATTTATCTGACACTATAGTTGAAGATCAGAATTGAACTGGATTGTTTACACATTAAGATAGAACAATTTTAAAAGCTTCTGGCACAAAAAATAGAGTTACAGCAGTGGGTGACAGGAGGCTTCGTTGAATTGACACATCGAAATGTGTTATTTTTGTTTTGTCCCTGTCCGCCATGTTTGTTTTTAAAAAAATTGGACGTAATCGTGAAGGATGGAAGAAGCTGATTCACTGTGTAACTTCATTAAGTCCTCTCAGCATCCACAAGCAAGCACCGTCTGTCTTCATCAAATTACCCGTGAAAAGCTAGAATTGACCTCTTAGCAAGCAGCATTGAAGAAAATTTACACTAGACTGAAGTTTCCCTCGCTTTACCTCACATACTACTTTACAGCATATTTCAATAGCTTGAGTGGTACAACTAGCTGCACCTAGCACTCCAATCTGCGTTTCAGCCAGTGCTAAAAGAACTCAACGGTCAAACTCAAATTATCCAAAAAATCGACCTCAATGGCGTTCTTCCTTCGATGACTCGTCAGCCCGCTTCCCTCAGCTGTTCGAATCACGTGAGTTCAATGCTTCGTGTTGTTTAAATCAGCACCACAGTAAAATTTGCCAAAAATTGATTTGATTTTATTGAATTACGCGCTATAAAAGGCCATCTCAAGGTCGTGTCGAGCCTTCAAGTGATTGGTGCTCTTCCCAGAATCTTTGAATTTGCCACCACATCGTGTTCCCCTATCGGAATTAGTGGTTTTGACAACGTTTATCAGATCTGCAAAACGAGTACTAAGGTTTTTGGTTCAAAATCCGTAGCTGTGTTAGTGTAGCATGGTCTCGTCCGACATTTATTTAATTATGTTCAAGCTGAGGAATGCTGTTTACACGATAACAAAAATTTCTTATAAGTAGGACATAACATCCCAGATGCACGGCTGTTGTGATTATCACGGAAGATTGTTTGGGATTTAAAAGAAGGCTTAGGTTAAAGGCGGTACAAGAATTTGAAGCGATACACTTAGCTGAACGAAGTTCAACGCGCTGTTATTGATTTCCTGTCAAAGTCATTTGTAAATTCAGGTCGCACACGAAAGTAGACAGTTTTCGGAAATCGATGAACTCACTTGCGTTGTCTGACTCATGAATTGTTCACGCAGTTTGAATTTAAATAAAATCTGGCGGTTTGTTTTAAATGCGCGCCAGGGGTTATCGCCATGGCAACCTCTCACACAGAAAGACATCTTTGTTTTTTGCATGAAGTCCACGCCGAAAAGCGACTTGATGGCGCAGGATAAGCCACACACAACTCAACGACGACTGCTGTCGAAACAGATCTCGGACGAGAGCGAACGTCGAGGCGGTGAGGATAGAAGATCCAGCGTTGCACCTCCGCAGGTCATTCAGAAGATCGATCTTAACGGCATCCTGCCATCACTGCGATCGCATTCACCGTCTGCTGCCAGTTCGGGCACTGTAAGTCTTGTTTATTGCGGTGTGGACAGTGTCTGATAATCACACGTTAAGCAGGAGACACGCTATCTCCGTAATTTTGTAAAGACAATTTTTGGTTCGTGTTATTTCCGAGTTGCATGCTTTTATTTCCAAATAGTGGCTCAGATATCCAGGTTAGCCGGCACAACGACACGTTCCTGCAATTTCATTGGTTGATTTCTAGTGTCCTTGGATTTGTTTTAGTCGTCACCGAAATCGAGTGTAAAGGCGCAGACGAAATTGGCTGCGAGGACGCGGAAATCGATACCTAAGCAGACATCCGCCGACAAGAAGTGGGAGGACGGAGAGGTGGAGGAGGCTTGGGAGAGAACTCTCACAAGAGAGGTTCCTGACCGCCCCCAGGTGATCCAGAAAATCGATCTCAATGGGGTTCTACCGTCTCTAGTGCCTCGGTTGTCGTCGCGGGACGGTTCTCTAAGCGTAATTCTGCTTCCTTGTTCTGGTCAAAATTTGAAACCAACCTGTCTAGCAGTGTGGCAATTCTGCACGACTAGTCGTGACTATTTTAACTTGAGTGTCTCTGTATGAGTCCCCTCACAAATCAATAAAATTAAGGAGTAAACCTAACACGAAATACCCAATGAGTTGTGTATGCGTTCGCAAGCTTTTTGAAATGCTTGTATCTGGAAGTCATCTGAGGTGCAAGAATTCAGACTACCGCAATTTTATGGTTGTTTAAAAATAGAATTTGATGATTTGTAAGTTACGCAACTCAGTTTGTGAATGCAAGCATTTCCTTGCGGTTATCACACACGAGGTTGACGTGGTAAAACAGTTTCTCGTGTAAAAGCTTGCTTTTTGACAGGAAATACATTTTCGTGAGTGTGAATTTGCGGACAAAAAAATATTTTTTTTTATCGTACGATTTCATTTTAGTTGCAATCATCACCAAAAACACAAGCAAAGATGCACAGGGTGACGAGTAAATCATTAGAGACGCAGCACGAAGAGACAAAACATTTGACAGCGAATTCGACTTCCACCAATGAAAGTACACCGGGTTCACACAGTAAGTATTGATTTATGCGGGTAAAAAAGGATTTGGTTGTCCCGATTTAATTAATGTCAATGGCGCCTTACAATACAAACGGCAGATCATTGTTTGAGAAAAAAGTTGAATTTCGGAGTCTTTAACATTTATAAGCAGGGATAAATTTTATGTAAATTTGTGCTCAGCCAATAGGAGTGCTGCTTGTGTCTGATTGGTGCACAACTTGTTTGCAATCCTTCTTTCCTAGATCAGACTCAGGCGTGTCTAACTTTTGACAAATAGACAAATCTGCATTATTTTTGGATGTAATTTATTGCTAAAAGGTAAAAGGAGCATTTGATGTCTTTAACGTTGGAATATAGGGCTCAATTACGTACAAATTTGGGCTCACCCAATAGGATTGTGCCTTGTTTCTGATTGGTGCAAAACTCAGCAATTTTGGAGTACCTTGATTTTGGACGCTTGGTTTTGATTGGTCAACCTCTGATGGTTTGTTTTGTAGAGCCAAATGCAAACCAAACCAATGAAGTAACTTACAAACACAAGGTGATGATCGTTAATACTGATTCAAAACCGATTGGCCAAAATACCAGAGGAGTGACAAGACACCCAGTGGTCGCTGAAAAGAGGCTGGGATCTCGCATGTCTGAGCTTCAAATTGCCACAGACAAGACCTCCTCGAAGGCATTCCACGTTGGCAGCGAGTCCCTGTTCGAGAGAGCCTCAAAGTGGCTCGAGGCAACCAACAGCGCTTTTGACAGAAAATTCCGACCTGCCTCCGCCACCACCACCACCACCCTCTCCACGTCTAACTCCTTCCACCGCGCCAGAAATGCCTTCATCAACAAAAACACCCTTGCCGAGCGGAAGATGGTATTTACGCGGGTTAAAAATGGCGGGGATTTGGAGCAGGCGATTCCGGGATTCCGTTGGCGTGTTATTCCTGGCACCACGACAGCGGCTTACGAACGGAAAGCGAATGAAGCCTCGTAGTGAAATTTGTGTTTCTTTTTGTGTAAATAGACAAAAATGCTGCCCTCTCCGTCAGTTTGGCTTAAGAAATATCGCTGTGCGAACTAACCCCACACACATTTGCACACAATGAGACCTCATTACTTGTCATTACTCGAAACCTGGTGTTTAAGAGATTCGCGACGTTACTCTACGCCCTTTTTCTTATCTTTGCAAATGACTTAAACCAACTTGTTAAATCTAGGTGACTAAAGATTAACCTGTTTGGACGGTACGGCAATTGCACGTTTTAGTTTTAACAAGCTACTGAATATGTTTTGAGTAGTAAGATTATTAACGTCAAGATTTTTAATGTAGGAGGCTGAGATCATGAAGGATCGGAAACTGTTTCTGTAAAGGAACATTGCAATTGCTCGTTTTTTGGTAGTCAAGTACTGTAATGACATTAGGACTAGTAAAATAAAGACGTTAATTTTGTGCTGACACGAAAACCACTAAACAAAATGAGTCCATATAATGTGGAGCTAGAGATTCCAGCTTAATTCATATTCGATGATAGCATCTGAGTCAGAAAGGCATTCTCTAGAGGCAATCAATGGAACTGAGATAGTAAAATTAACAAGTTTAAGCACGGAGGAGTGTAAGAAATTATACGACCCTGGTGGCAGATCTCTGATTGGCAGATATGTCACAAGATCATTCTTAACAAAACATCTCAGTAGATAGCATTAGTAAGCAGAGTGTCTCAGGAATGACATGAAGGGTTTAGCAAAAACTGAAAACACTTATTTGAAAGCATCTTGAAGGTGAACTGAAAACGAAATGTGGCCGAACTTGTGTGCCAGAACAGGTGTGCTCAAAACATCATTGCAACTCATTACAAAACAGTAGTCATCGTAATTTGGCAAATTTCACGAATGGTGAGTTATGCAACTCGCAAAATTACAAGGTTCACAAGGGCACGATATCCCAGAACGAATCACACCCTTCAGGCATGCAGTCATTGCATCGATTTCTTAAACCTTTACAAGTAACCAAGGAAGCGTGAACTCTGTTGGAGAGTCACCACATCGGACGAGAGAAGACTGGCTTAGAGGTGGCCGTGTCCACACCACCCGCACAAGCATCTCCTTCCAGTACGTCGACACCACACGGCAAAGAGCCAGATGCATTGCTTGCGTTCACGCCTGCTCCACGGTGTAGCACAGCACACACTGGCGAATTCGCAACCATTCCACATCACAATTCATCGTTTTTACCAACCCCTGTTGACGCACCTTCAACATTTTCAAAGACCGTCTTGGCAGACGAAGAGGCACATTCGAGTGAAGTGATTCCTCGTCATGCGTGCTAGTCGCAGCACAAATCTCACTCGTGCATGGAGTACTTTGGCCATGTTTGCGGATTTGGGAATTAAACTGCTTCACCCGCTGGTCTAACCGCTTATGACAACGTCACGGTTAGGTCTGGAACACATTCAGAAAGCGCCTCCGACTTGCTGATCCAATGGAAGCCTCACTTGCCAACTTGGCTGACGACAATCTCGAGAGATAGGAGCAGAATCGACAAGATACACACACACATCGTGGTAAGGTTCTGTCACTGTCGCTGAAGTAGACTCATTAACACGCCATCTGTTTTCCAACTGAATTCGGTAAAGCCACATGCATGCGTGTGGTAGCACAACGATCACATCTGATTCTTTGCCATCCAACTGTTGCTTCTCGTCACTCGAAACAACTCAACACAGAAGTGGACGACTTCAAGACATCCGTTCAACGCACATGAACATTCTCGACGCACAATGACGAGAACCCGTGACAGTGGTGATCATGATCGTCACTTCGAGGTGTAGAGCTGTTCGAAATAGGCACGTCAAGGCATCACAAGAGGTAACCGACGCACATGTCCGTCAACATGTCGACCAGCATGTCTGCGTCGCAGGCGAGACCAGATGGATCCCACGAGACTGCTCCTGGCGTCGATTGTCAACCAGGAGCCTCAACTATCCATTCAACCAGAACGTCTTATGACTAGACATTACCTTCAGGTTTGCAGAGATGGCACAGTCGACACGAGTTGGCATTCAACATTCAGCACGATAATGCGCCAATAGGAGCATCATCTCTAACGCCTACAACTCATTCACCATGCTTCAGGCCAATTTATTACTCTCCTGCTCGCTTCCGAACTCACAACCACTCGCACCAACGTCTTAGTCGCAGACCGCAAACTCTTCACCACGCCACCAACACATCGCAGCTTCGCCCTGTTCGACATCTGGCATGCAGCAGAATAGCGATGTGCTGTGATGCCTGTTCGACTCTGTCACCAGTCGAACCTGTTGCTAACGTCAGTCACACACCACCTCTTCCACCTTCTCACCTCACTCTTCGTGGATCTCCTTCAAACAGGTGGATCCATCCCCTCGTATTCCACTCAATCAGACATTTTACTCTCCTGACCTCCCCCCCTCATTCTAGATTGGTATTTTAGTGCTGTGTGGAGAATAGAAGCGAAGTGTTGGTGAATCTCGAAAGTCATTTTCCCTCAATGAAAAGCAGCGCCTTATTTGAAATGATGTGCATTCTGATTGGTTGATCGATTGCTTTGTGTCAGGTGTGGTGCGGGACATTTGCGAATTCGATGCTGTAGTGAATGTGATACACAGGAACCCACCGTTTTAAATTGAAACTTTGACGGTAATTTTAGCGATATCTCTTTAACTAAATACTGATTTAAATATGTCTTGAATGTTTTTAATAAGTGAGTGTGCATTTTGCACAAATCGAATCCAGGTTGCTTGCTGCTCTCAGATATCTGCAGACGTTGGTTCACCTTAAACTGAAACAAATTTTTACTTAAAACCAATTTCGTTGGAGCTCGACATTTGTAAATTATTCCAGTTATGCACAATTTTTTAGCACTAATGACCTTTTTGACCCAGTCTGACCTTGAATTATCTTGTTTGCAACACACCTGAAGGTCGTTAAAATTGGCACACCCAAAAAATCGTAATAACCACTCACGAAGTGAGTTCAAATAACCTTGAACTTTGCATTATTGACTAGCGTACACATAGAAATCATTATGCTAGGTATGTGATTGGCTGAGTACGTACCAATAACAACTCTTTCTTGAATGTCTACGACGGGATTGTTTAAAAGTGACGCGAAAGAGCCACTCTTGTTTAAATTATTGCGCATCGTCTGTTAAGGTGGAATCTAGTCGACTTCAAAATGACGGTAACGATGAGGAAAACGACAGACTTTGCTCGCATCTACCTCCCGACGTTGATAATGACCTCATTTGTGGTTTAATGGATAACAGCATTCCACGGAGTCATTCGATACAACTCTGATGCACCTCGAAACTAGACGTCTGGATTTCACCGTCCTTCAACAACCACATCTCGCCTCGTCCATCAGCAACACGCAGCTTTCGTGGATAAGGCCATAATTGGAGATGGGATGAGGTGATATGAAAGTTAATCTGTATCCATGGAAATGAAACATCAGAATATCTACCAATGTCTGAATTTCCGCATGAACGGAAGGTGCTTTTATGCACACAGTGGTGGAATACAAGGATAGAATGGATTACGAGATTGGTCCACATGGACAGAGCAGGTCTTCAAAGAAGTTCTGCGGGCAAATCAACCAATTCAATATTGAAATCCACGCAGACGGTCGATCGAAGAGGCATCGTCTGTCACCGTGACAGGGCTAGACCACATGTTGTTTGACAGACACTGACCTTGAGCCTTCACATTTTTATCTGTTTCGTTCTCCATAACAAAGCAATTTAAATTTAAACGTAGGGAGACAGCTATATGATATGAGGGATGATGATGATGATTATTAATCAACTAACGCCATTGGTAAATTACCCGACCTTGAAACAAAGCTAAACCTGTTTGATCCGATTTTATTTAACCAATAAAAATAATGACAGCTAGTGTAATGCCCTCAGAAGTAATGCATGAATTCCGACCCACAATTTACCAGAGGCTACAGCTGCTACTGAAATTGAGTTTATAAGTAGCATTTATCAGCTTTCACCTGTGACGAATATTGCCCTGTGATTGTTCGCATTGCCACACACTGAAAACGACAGAAATATTCTGCCTAAAAGTTCTTCAAATTTACTAAAATCATCCAAGAAAAATGTTTGTTTTTTCAGCCAAGGACTGAATCGTGGATTCGGTGCATAATAATAAGTTTCAACAACGTAACTGCATTTAAGCCTGATTAAAACAATTTCAAAACGAAGGTGTTTGGTTCCGAGACCGATTGTAGTCTGATTGAATTCGACAAATATCAAGTATTAGTTGATATGGAAGCAAATCAATAATTAGGAACGTTTCTAGGAAAAATCTGGATCTGCGATGCTAGGGAGTTCAAAAGTCTTGAACAGGGGAGGTAGGCTCTACACCAACTTGCAGTGTCTTTTGTGCAATTCGATAGGTGATTTGTCAACGGCGTAGGTTCCAAAATCTTCATGTTTGGTTGACATAAAATGTATTAATCTCCAGCAAGAACTCATGGCACAATAATCATCCAAGAATAAATCGAAGATTTGGTGTGAGAAGTCATGACTCATTCAAAATGTTCAAGATCGAGATCTTGCGAGATCCTGCGACAGGTCCGCGACCTCACCAAACCCGATGCATATTCACGCGATGGTTGTGTTTAAATGCACGCTGAAAAAACGGCGCTAATTTTAAGTGACTTTGCGCGAAATACAGCATGTTGTGGTGGGCAATCGTTAATGAATTAATCCACTTACTGGGCAACCACGAGCACTTGATGCCCGTGGAAATGCTGAGCCACCCCACCAACCCGCGAACGAGGCGGCGAGCGTGCGAAATTTTGCCAACACGGAGGCACTAAAGTCTACGCAGGGCACGTAATGCAGGGCATGCCTTCGATGTACTTGCTGCTGGCCAGTAGCGACCTTGTTCTCTCGGTTACCAAGTACAATTACGTATAAAACCACTTGAAAAAATGGTTCCTAAAGGCCTACAAACCACAGTGATGCAATGTGCGTGTGTGATTTGGGAGGCTGTTCCCGCCAGGGAGTGATGACTTTGATTGGTGTTTTGGCATCAATGTCGTGGAGCACAGTTAATAGGTCTTTGGCGAAATGAGTCATTATGAAACTACCGTATATGATTGGCTGAAACCCACGTGACTCGGCAGCACACTTGCTCTTAATTCATGCAAGAAACTTAACGTATTCGGGAATAATCTAACTCAATGACTAATTGACCTTTCGAATGAATTTCGTTTTCAGTTTGGAGTGACATGGCTAACAAGGAATTTGCGATTTCCATTTTCAGCAGTGAATTTGGGCCTACAATGTAGTTTTCTGTGGAAATTCACAATAAACCAATGTTTTCGAACATTTTTTGCATTTCCAAAAACACTGATCTTGCTGGTTCTTTGTAAGAAATAGGCCTGACATTGTGACGAACCTTATTGGACGACTTCACTTGGACCAATCATGTTAGTTTTAATGCGAGAACCATATTTTATACAATAGTGGGGGTGCAGAATGGTAACAATTTTGACAAAGCCCAACCCTAACCTCATTGGCTGGCATTTGTTGGCCTTCACTCACTGGCCGTGCCTGATTGGTTGTCATTCGTTGGCCATCGCGCATTGACTCGTTGTCACAGATAAATCGATCAAAGCATCTTCATCATCTCTGCACAAGTCAGAACCACCTGGACACCGGGAAAACTCGGTTTCGACGTAGTTTAGGTGTGTTTACCACGTAAACGACCACCGCAAAATTCCCACCATGATCGTCCACCCTCGATGGTGTGTTTACGAGGTGGATTATACGCCAACACGTTCCCACCCGTCATGTAGGAGGTGCAAACAGGAGGGGAGGGGGTGGTAGAGGCGTCGGCGCCAGCGCTATCGAGAAAGGTCATTTTCGCAGCGTCAACAAGTGGAATATCTGGGGACAGGATGGGAGTAATAAATTACTCACGAGGCCACCGTTATTAACGTGTTTTTTCCCAGTTGTTAGCCATGGTGAGTTGGCTGCAAGTGCTTTGCAAGCCAAAACCGAGGCAACAGGAATATAAACTTCCAGGCACGTAGGGGTTCACCAATCAGACGTCGAAGAAAATTTTTGAATTCCAGACGTTTTATCACATTCACTACAGCATCGAATTCGCAAATGTCCCGCACCACACCTGACACAAAGCAATCGATCAACCAATCAGAAT